GTAGGCGTCATTCTGATACTCATAATCTCTCTGTCAGTCGCCCGGCTCCCGGCGGCTCCTCGTTCTGCGTTTGACTTCCACGTTTTTCCCGTTTCCAGGAAACGCTTTGTGTCTGATCCGAATCCCATCGAGCTGCTGCTGCTGCCGGCGGCGAGAGTCACGGTGGAAGGATGGCGAGGGGAGAAGTGACACCGGGGAGGGGAAGCGGAATAAACTGAAGAAAGACACAGAACTGAGAGCCAACGATGGGGAAGAGGAGCTGCCGAGGAGCGTTATCACATGCCGGGGAGAACGCCGCCGGAGGACGCAGAGCTGACACCGGGGACCAGAGAAGTGCAGCGCAAGGCAACTAAGTGAATGGAGGAGCGGAGACGGTGAGCGCCGGCCCGGCGGGATAGGGCATGAGAGCCAAGGGTTAGGGTACATGGAGCGGAGGAGACATCGGTCCAGGAGAAGAAAGCAACAATGGTCTCTTCCGAGTAGGAAAATCCTTCATGGCTCAACTCGCCGGTGAAGAGCCGGATGGCCGAGAGGTCCGCGGCGCCTGGCCGGACGGGGGGCGGGTGTGGATCGCCGCCTTCTTGAGCTTCATCGTCCTCCTGACCGCCGCGGGCAACTCTCTCCTCATCCTGCTCATCTTCACCCAAAGGTCCCTGCGGAACACTTCAAACTACTTCTTGGTGTCCCTCTTCATGTCGGACCTCATGGTGGGCCTGGTGGTGATGCCGCCGGCCATGCTCAACGAGCTCTACGGCCGCTGGGTCCTGGACGCCGTCTTCTGCTGCGTCTGGCACTCCTTCGACGTCATGTGCTGCAGCGCCTCCATCCTCAACCTCTGCGTCATCAGCCTGGACCGCTACCTGCTCATCATCTCGCCGCTCAAGTACAAGCTCCGCATGACGTCCTGCCGGGCCGTGGGCCTGATCCTGGCCACCTGGACCCTGGCGGCGCTGGCCTCCTTCCTGCCCATCGAGATGGGGTGGCACGAGCAGAACTTGGAGGCGCCGTCCTCGAACTCGACGGGGGAGAAGCAGTGCCGGCTCACCGTCAGTCTGCCGTACGCCCTGATCGCTTCCTGCTTGACCTTCTTCCTGCCCTCGGCCGCCATTTCCTTTACCTACAGCCGCATCTTGCTGGCGGCCAGGAAGCAAGCCGTCCAGGTGGCCTCTCTGACCACCAGCATGCCCACTACTTCTGGAGACCACACGCAGGTGAGTGACGGTCGAAATCTTATGAAAAGGTCTTGACGGGGCGTCACTTGTAGAAGGCAAAACGTTCCGTGGAGTCGGCCCTTTATGGGGGGGCCACTGGTTGCCCCAAGCGCCTTTTATTTCACTCACCGGGGCCGGTCACTAAAGGGGGTGAAGGGTTTGGAGAAGTGACCCGTCTAGGACACCATAGCCGATTCGGAAACATTCTCCCATTCAGCTCACTGTCTAGTTCGGCGAAGTTGTCCTAGATCAGGGGGTAACGAAACTCCGCCCTCCAGCTGCGGCGGAACTACAAATCCCATGAGGCATTGCAAGGTTCTCACAGCCACGACTCCCGGAGAGAGATGCATCGTGGGATTTGTAGTTCCACCCCCACAGCTGGAGGGGCGGAGTCTGGCTACCCCTACTCCCGCAGAGAGATGCATCATGGGATTTGTAGTTCCACCCCCACAGCTGGAGGGGCGGAGTCTGGCTACCCCTACTCCCGCAGAGAGATGCATCATGGGATTTGTAGTTCCACCCCCACAGCTGGAGGAGCGGAGTTTGGCTACCCCTACTCCCGGAGAGAGATGCATCATGGGATTTGTAGTTCAACCCCACAGCTGGAGGGGCGGAGTCTGGCTACCCCCTACTCACGGAGAGAGATGCATCGTGGGATTTGTAGTTCCACCCCCACAGCTGGAGGAGCGGAGTTTGGCTACCCCTACTCCCGGAGAGAGATGCATCGTGGGATTTGTAGTTCCACCCCACAGCTGGAGGGGCGGAGTCTGGCTACCCCTACTCCCGCAGAGAGATGCATCATGGGATTTGTAGTTCCACCCCACAGCTGGGAGGGGCGGAGTTTGGCTACCCCTACTCTTGCAGAGAGATGCATCATGGGATTTGTAGTTCCACCCCACAGCTGGAGGGCCGGAGTTTGGCTACCCCTACTCCCGCAGAGAGATGCATCATGGGATTTGTAGTGTCACCGCAGCTGGAGGGCCGGAGTCTGGCTACCCCTACTCCCGCAGAGAGATGCATCATGGGATTTGTAGTTCCACCCCACAGCTGGAGGGGCGGAGTTTGGCTACCCCTGCTCTAGGACAACATAGCTGGAACTGGAGAATGTTTGCGAATCGGCTACGGTGTCCTAGATGGGTCACTTCTCCAGCCTCCTCCAAACCCTTCACCCCTTTTTAGTGACTAGCCCTGCGAGCGATGATCGGCTCCGTACCGGAGACCAGCGAAATTTGAGGGTTTTCTTTTTTTTCCTGACATTTGGTCAAAAATCTTCAGAGTTTGGTGAAAATGTGTCGGATCTTGTAGGAAAAAAGTTACGTTACGGGTTTGTTTTCCTTTTGGGTAAGGGGTGGGGGCAGGGCCGGTGCAAGGATTTGTGCCCACACAGGCAAAGTTGCATTTTTGCGCAATTTAGGACCCCACCTGGAGCTCCTCCCACCGGACCAGCGCTGACTCGCCGTTGCTCTCCCGCGCCGAAGGTAAGTGGAAAAAAAAAAACATAGCGCAGGCATCGGGGCATTTTGACGAGTACGAGTCAAAATGCCCTGTTTTTTCCGCCCTCACCCTGCAGCGCCCTCAGGCGGCCGCCTGACTTGCCTTGCGATAGCGCCGGGCCTGGGTGGGGGGGCCTTAAGGCCTTGTTCACACCAAGCGCGGAGCAGATCCGGACCGGAGCAGGTGCAGACCGGATCAAAACTGCGTCCAATGTATTCCTATGGTATTTTGACCTCCAGTTCACATCGCAGCGTGCGGATCCAGACCAGATCCAGAGCAGGTGAAAAAACTGCGGCAAGCCCTATTTTACCTGCTCTGGATCTGGTCTGGAACGCATCAAAAACGCATGCAAGTGCCTGGAAGCCCATGTTAAACTTTAAACCGAAAACCGGCCCTAAACGCATCCAAAACGCGTCTAAAAACGCGGCACAACCCACTGCACTGCGTGTGCAGAAACCTGAGCGCATCTGCTCTGCATTTGGTGTGAACAAGGCCTAAATGTCCCATGAGGGTCACCGAAACCTCTTTTGCTGGATCTGATGCCGAAAAATGGCCCCTCGTTGTTATCACAGAAAAAAAAAAATAGCGTGAAAAGTCATAAAAATGTGAAGAGACAAAACGCAAATCATCAAATACCCAAAAATGGGAAAAACCCTCAAAGAACGCAAAAAATTCACACAATAGATTAAAAAAAACAACAACAACAATGTCCTCCATGTCATGTGACTTTGTTTGTATAAGGAAGCCGACATTCACTCTCGGTGAATCTTCCTGGTGCAATCAAGGACAGCGATTGAGTCATCGTGTGAATGTTGAGTGAAAGTCGGTCACAGAGCGTCACGGACGCCTCCGAGTTTCCGCTGCGGCAGGATTTCTACTTTCTGGTGACACATTTTTTTATTTTTCAATGTTTTTGTTTTGTTTCCAAAGAAAATTCCTTTCTTCCGATTCGCCAAATTCTTCCGTTTTTCTCAC